TTAACTCTGTTTTCTCCTCCACAGATGCTGCCAGACCTGCTGAGCTTTTCCAGCAACTTTGTTTTTGACCCAGTGTATGGCTAGTGCACTGAGATTTGCAATGGCATAGAGTTCCATTTAGCACAGGGCACTATGTGTTCCTGTTCCAATACCTCACTCAAAGTACTGTCCACATGGAGTTTTTTGACACCAAGCTGAGCTTTCTGACTGTAAGACCTTTAAGAACGAGATGACTTTCATTTACTCACACTTTTCCTCACTTGAGTTTTTATAGAACCATGAGAAACAGGAGCAGGCTATTCAGCCCATTAAGCTGCTATACCATTCAATGTGATTGTAGCTGCTGCTTTATCTCAACATTGAAGTCCCACACTCTCTCATATCTTTTGATGCCTTTATGGTCTAGAATATTCTTAAATATAGGCTCCATAGCCTTCTGTAGTTGGTTATTCCACAGGTTCACCACGCTGTGAATGAAGAAATTTCTTCTGATCTCAGTCCTAAATGGCCTACCTGATGCTAAGACCATCATCCCTTGTTTGAAGCTATTTTGAAGTGCAGTCTTTGTTGTGAAAGTTAGGAAGTATGGCAGCAAACTGGGTAGACCAAGATTCCACAAACAGCAGTGTGATGACTAAATGTAAAAACTAAGTGCTGTAAAATAAGCAAATATGAAACAATACATATACAAATTGTTACAGGCATGGTGTTACAGGTATTAATACTAATACAGCTTTCTTTTATTTTTCAGACACTCTAACTGCTGAACATAAGCTGACACTCGGTAATGTTTTGTTTCTACGTGTAAAGCCTGCTTGACTGTACTAGTGGTATCAAGTTTCCTTCCTGTTTTACTTGCTTTTAGTTCCTTATTGTGATTATATGCGCATACTGTAACTCTTCCTGTTTTGCAGTATTCCTCTGAAGCTGCTTTCAACATTCTTGCCCAAAGGCCTGGTCGTTACTTAATAACATTGAATCATATTTCCACTCCAACTGGTTTCATTTTGAAAACTCAAAGCATCTGGCCTCCATTCTCGCTGTGTTGCTGCTTTGATTTTCTTCACTAATATTCCCCAGCATTTCATTCCTGCATGTGATTCTGCGGTGCACGTGATCTACTTATTACCAACGTTTACATGGATGTCTAATAACAAGTTTAACATGTATTCTACTTGGTGTTTTATTGTATGAACTGACAGATACAGCAGACTCCTGAACTGTACACTGCAAAATACATTCTACTCATCAGTGGCTTATTATTTTCATTCTGAATAAACATGTGAACTGGGATAGGAGTAGGGCATTCATCCAACTTTGAACCTGTTTCACCATTTTGTAAGATCGTGGCTAATTTGATTGTAACCTCAAATCTGCATTCTCACCTAACCCTGATAACCTTTCTCACCCCTTGCTTAACAAGAATCTGTCTATCTTTGTCTTAAAAAATTATTCAAGGACTCTGCTTCTACCTAATCTGTTTTAAATGTGAGGTCCTGATTTTTAAACAGTGACCTCTCAATATTCTCCTGGTCAAGATCCCTTGGGATGAATTCAATCAAGTCACCTCTTACTTTTCTAGACTCCAGCAGCTATAAGCAAAGCATGAACAAATTGAGAACTTTTCAAAATTAATGGTCAATAGGATCTGGCAGACTCAAAACATCCTCTCTACTCAGTGAATTAAAAGTCAAGAAAGCAGAAATGATCACACTAGGGCTTATCCTCAGTGAGAATGAACACGAGGAGATACTGATGTGGTGCTAGTGTCACTGAATCAGTAATCTAGAGGCCCAGGCTAATGTGTTGGGGTTATGGGTTTGTGCAATTTTAAGTTCAGTAAATACATCACTAATATCCTTTAGGGAGGGAAATCTACTGTCTGTATCTGTTCTGGCCAAATGTGATTCCAGACCCACACCAATGTGGTTGACTCCTGATTGCCCTCTGAAAAGACCCAGCAAGCCAATCAGTTTGAAGGCAAATGGGATGGACAACAAATGCTGGCCTTGCTAGTGGTGCCAAATCCAGAAGAAAATGCATGAAAAACTTGGTAAATGTGCCTCTCTTCTATGTACAAACAGATGGGGATTTGGAGACCCCCTAATAGGCAGCAGTGAAAATGGGCAGCTTATCTGTACCAATATCTATGAGCTTTCTGGGTCCCTGATGTGTGATAATACGTTTTACTGATCTGTCTCATACTGCCCTCTGCAGGTGCTGCCAGCACATAATGTCATCTAGACTCAAAACATTAGCTTGCTTCAGATGCTGCCTGACCACTGTGATCTCCAGCACTTTTTGTTTTCAGTCCTGCCAGTACATAGTCTGCCACTACCAGTCCTACAGCTGCTGCTGGTAGGAGCTCTTGTCTATTCAGCTTATAGTCCTTGCAGCAATGGGCTGCAGAGAGCCAAGCAGCTCCTGTGGTCAATGCAAGTTCCAGTTATTTTTTGTTCCGGAGACTGAAATGCTGGAACAGTTTCTGCAGGAGTTGAACACTCAGCTCACCAAACTGCAAAATCGTCCATTTTGATTTCTGCCTGTGGTGCGAATCATTTACCATCAGTGTTGCAGTGTGCACCATCTGCAGGATGCAATGCAGTGGCTTGCCAAGCTCACTTCAACAGAACCTTCCAAAACCATGACATCCAAACCGAGAACAGGAGCATTATGTAATGGGAGCATGATCGCCTCTTCACATACCATTTCCAACTTGAAACATATCGCTATTCCTTCATTACCACTGGCTCAAAATCCTACCATAGCATTATGTAGACACCTTTACCAGATGAACCGTAGTGGTTCAAGAAGGTAGATCACCACCCTTGGATATGTTTAATATTTCATCGACCGCAGGTAAAGTGCCAGATTACTGGAGGATAGCTAATGCAGTTCCTTTGTTCAAGAAGGACAGCACAGGGATAGGCCAGGTTATTATAGACCAGTTAGCGTGACGTCAGTGTTTGGGAAATTATTGAGAAAAAATTTGAAGGACGTGATTAATCAATGCTTGGAAAGGCAGTGATTAGGGATAGTCAGCAAGGATTTGCTAGAAGGAGATCCTGTCTGACTATTTATTTGTTTTTGAAAAGGTAACTAAATATATTGATGAGGGTAGTGCAGTTCATGTGGTTTATGTGGGCTTCAGTAAGGCTTTTGATAAAGTCCCACATGGAAGGCTGGTCCAAAAGGTAAGAGTCCATGGTATCCAAGGCAAGTTGGCAAACTGGATCCAAAATTGGCTTACAAATAGGAGGCAAAGAGGATTGTTTTTGTAATTGGAAGCATGTAATCAGCAGTGTACCATAGGGATCAGTGCTGGTATACTTGCTGTTTGTAATGTACATTAACGAATTGGATGAGAATGTTGAAGGTATAATTAACAAGGTTGCAGATGGCATGAAAATTGGTGTGTTGTTGATAATGAGAAGAATTGTCTTAGTCTACAGTCTGATATTGATCAGCTTGTAAATTGGGCAAAGCAATGGCAGAACGAATTCAATCTGGATACGTGATGCATTTTGGGAGGTCTAATAAGGCAATGCTGTATGCAGTGAATGGTAGGCCCCTTGAGAGTACTGAGGAACAAAGGGACCTTGGTGTACAAGTCCATAGATCCCTGAAGGTGTCAGCCCAGGTAAACAGGATGGTGAAGAAAGCATCTGGGATGCTTGCCTTCTGAAATAACTCTACAGAGGCTGGTATCCCATCACCAAGTGACCCTTTATTTACACAATGAGAGCCCTTGACACTGATCCAGCTTCCTCAGAGCCAGGTCTCAGAGTGAACAGAACCTCTGACATTCTTGTTTATATCTGTCAGCCAGGGGTCCCTGATTGGACCAGATTAACAACCCGTGACATTTACCTGGCCAACGTCCTTACAATCGCTACACTTTCATTACCAGGATGTAGAATATAGGAGCGAGGAAATCTTGTTACAGTTTTATAAAACATTGGATAGAATTCTGTGTGCAATTCTGGTCATCACACAATGGAAAGGACATGATTGCGCTGGAAAGGTTGCACAAGAGATTCGCTAGGATTTAAGTTTCAATTATGAGGGGAGACTCGATAAGCTGGGTGTGTTTTCCCTGGAGCAGAGGAGGTGGAATGAGATATATAGGTTTGAGAGGCAGAGACAGAGTAAATTGTATGAATGTCTTCCCCGTGGCAGACATGTCTTAAGACTAAAACACGCAAGTCTCAAGTGAGGAGCAAGTGGTTTAGAGGAGATCTGAGAATATATCCCCACGCCATCTTCACCCCCCCAAAAAAGGTAGGTATATGGGGCATGCTGTCTGAGAGGGTCATGGAGGCAAGATTAAGCTGGAGAGGGTTCAGAAGAGATTTATCAGGATGTTGCTGGGTAAAGAAGATTTGAGTTATAAAGAAGGTTTGGACAGACTGGGACATTTTTCACTCGAACGTAGGAATTAGAGGCGACCTTATAAAAGTTTATAAAATAATGAGGAGTAGGGATAGAGTTAATGGTCATTGTCTTTTCGCTAGGATGGGGGATTTCAAGACTAGGGGACACATTTTTTAAGGCAAGAGGAGAGAGATTTTAAAAAGACATGAGGGCAAATTTTTCACACAGAGGGTGGTTCATGTGTTTAATGAACTTCCAGAGGAAGTGGGGAATGTGGGCACAGTTACAGTGTTTAAAACACATTTGGTTAAGTACATGAATAGGAAAGATTTGGAGGGACATGGCCAGGAGCAGGCAGGTGGGACTGGTTTAGTTTGGGATTATGGTTGGCACGGACTGGTTGGACTGAACGGCCTGTTCGATGCTGTATGACTCTTAAGGTTCTATGACTCTAAACATCTGAATAAGCAATTAAAATGCCAGGGCATAGTAGGCAATGGACCAAGTGCAGGTAAATGGGATTAGTTTAGTTTGGTATTTGTTAGTTGGTGAGGACATGATAGGCAGAAAGGCCTATTTCGATGCTGTATGACTCTGACTGTAAGACACCTTCTCCAAGGCAACTGGGGATGAGTAATGAATTCTGGCCGAGCCAGAGATGCCCAAATGCCATGAGCCAATATATGACATTTGCTGGTGATTCTGGAAGTGACATGGTGAAAATATTTCAGGCTCCCTGAATTCCTTCCGAAGTCACAGTCCACTATAGGTTGCATTCACACTGAAATGTTCAAAGACCATAATGTATTTCCCCCACATTCCCACCACACACACATGCACATATGCCAGCTTCTCTGTTATTACAGGTGCACTAAGCATAACGTTCTTCCTGTTTAATATTGTGATGTCCATCCAGCCTTGCTTTCTGGAACTATGGGGAGAGGATGGTAACTCTGCTGGTTTTGTAATACCGATAACTCCGACTTCAGGTTACTGAGACAATGGATGTTTTTCAACATGTATTCCAGAGCCATGGACAATGATTGTAGAGGTTTTGTTGTTCTTCCGACACATGGCTGGCCAGGAGCCTTTCCTAATCTTACTGTCTGCCATTGACATGTTGAAAGGATTTTCTGGTGAATTGTCAACCTGTTTGCCGTGTTATTGACTTCCCTTCCTTGGCTGTCAAGATCTGGTTTGGGATTCAAACTCGGAGCTTTTGTCTTAAAATCGGGGATTCTGCACATAGTACATCCTTGGAAGGTTCAGTAATTGAGAGGGCTTCAATAATGAAGTGATGATAGCAGAACATTGTCTGTTTGTTGACATTAAGGTATTTAAACTCTCATGCTCCTGCTTTGTCCTGAGCTGCTTGTTTACTGCATGGTTCAGCAGATGATGGACGGTTGCAAAGTCTAATGGTCTCCTGTTGTAAATGTTTGTTCAAAGTGGGCACCAATTTGAGTTCCTAACTTACAGCGAGAAGATAAGACCTCAGCTGAGATCTGCAGTCTGTCTTCTTACCCCTTTAATTGAGGAATAATTCTGAATTCAATCACCCCATATTAACTAATACCAAAACCCTCCTTAAAGTGAGTTTTAATATTCTATGTAAACGGTATAGCTGTTAGCCTGTATTAATTGTGGGTGACTTTTCTGTGCAGGTGTAATCCTGACCGTCACTTTGGGATGTGTGCTGTGTGTCATGGTTGCTTCAGCTCTGACCGTTTTCTTCCTGCGGAAAAGGTAAAAGTCTAACATTCCGGACTTTGAATATCTTAATAGAACCTGTTAATGGGATGCTCTGTAATCAAAGGAGATGTTTGTATCAGAAATTTATTTTTTTTCCCTCATACCGCCATTAGAAAAACAAAGTTAATTCATATATCACTTTTAATCAACTAAAGTAAACCACAGTGCTTCCTAGGAGCATGTTCAGACATGGACCTATATAAAGAGATTCTTGCTCAGGAAGGTTTTTAGGAACATTTTAAAACAAGCAACTCATGTCAAGATACAGGGAGGCTGAGGGTGGGAATTCCAGAGCTTGGGGCCTTGGCAGCTGATGACACAAGCAGTGCAAATATATGAATGAGGAAGACAAGTGGTCTACTTGGCCCGTTGAGCTGCTCCGCCATCCAAAAATATCCAGCCTGATCTGACTTTAACCTCAACTCTAGATTCCTGCACATCTCCCATGATCTTTCAAATCCTTAGTAATCAAGAATCAATCTACCTCTGCCTCAATTCCGTCTTTGCATGCACTGCCTTTTGAGGAAGGGAATTCCAAAGAAATGCAGAGAGGTCCTTTGAGGGGAAAAAACGTGTTTCTTCATCATAGGTTCTCCAAGAGAAAACATCCTATCAAGTCCCCTCAGGATCTTATATATTTTGATTGAGTCACCTCTGACTCTTCTAAACTCCTGAGAATACAGGCCTAACCTGTCGAGTTTTTCCTCAAGTTAATCCACTCATTCCTGGTATTAGTCTGCTAAACCTTCTCCAAACTGCTTCCAACACATTAACATTCTTCTACAAGTTAGATGACTTCTGTACTGAAGCATAACAATTCCCCTCACAATAAGCTGTAGCATTCTATTAGCTTTCCTGATACTTGCTGTACCTGAATAATAACCTTCTGTGATTCATGCACTTTGGCATCCAGAACCCCCTTTATCTTAGAACTCTGCAACCTCTCACCATTTTAGGTAATATGTTTTTTTATTCTTCTTGCCAAAATAGACAATTTCACATTTTCCTACATTGTTTTCCATTTGCCATTCTCAGAATTGTTACAATGCAAAAGAAGGCCATTCTGTCCAGTGTGTCAGCTCTGACTCTCCAAATAAGCAGCTGACATAGTGCCATTCTCCCACCTTCCTTCTCCTAGTGACTCAGCATGTTCTTCCTTTTCAAATACATAAAAAAATACAGAAATGGAATAGCAATATTCAGCTACTCGAGCCTGCTCTGTCATTCAGTAAGATGATCACTGATGATTGTAATGTTAAATTCACATTCCTGCCTACCGCTGATAAACTTTCACCTCCCTTTATTTACCAATGGTCTATTGACTTCTGCTGTAAAAATATTCACCAGAAATAAAAATATTTTACCACCTCTTTTTAGGATGAGAGTTCCAAAGATTCACAACCCTCTGAATGGAAAAAAATGTTTGTCTCATCTCTGTTTTAAATGAATGACCCTTGATTTTTAAACATGTCCCCTCATTTTAGATTCTCTCAGAAGAGGAAATGTCCTCTCCTCATTCACCCTGTCAAGTCCTCTTGTATGTTACATGTTTCGGTCAAGTTACCTCATTCTCTACTGAACTCCAGTAGCTACAAGCATAGTCTGTCCAGTTGTTCCCCATAAGACATGGTCACCTGCCCTCCCAATTTCAGGTATTAGGTCAGTAAACTTTCTGTGACTGTCTCCAATACATTTACATTCTTCATTATATGAAGAAACCATACTGTACACAGTATTCTGGATATGGTCTCACCAATGCCATACATAATTGGAGCATAATCTACTTTTGTATTCCCCCTGTGATAAGTGATTGTACTTTGTTAGCTTTCCTAATTATCTCATAATATCTGCAAGCTAACCTTTTGTGATTTATGCAGAACTTCCAGATCTCTCTTGAACTCAAAAGTTCTGCAATCTCAAAATGTTGATAATTTTTCTTTTGTATTCTTCCTGCCAATATGGACAATTTCTATTTTTCAGTATTATACTCCATTTTCCACATCTTTTCCCACTCATTTGTATCTTTTTTGTAGCCTCCTTACGTGCTCTTCAAAACTTTCATTCCTACCTATATGTTTTCAGAAAATTTGGCAAGAATACCTTCTATCCCTTCATGCTGGCACAGTGGCTCAGTGGTTAGCACTACTACCTCACAGTGCCAAGACTTCAGGTTCAGTTAAGGCCTTGGGCAACTATCCATGTGGAGTTTGCACATTCTCCCTGTGTTTGTATGGATTTTCTCCAACAGCCCAAAGATGTGCACGCTAGGTGGATTAGCCATAGGAAATGTGGGGATAGGGTGAGGAGTGTGTTTGGGTGGGATGCTCTTTGGGGGGTTGGCACAGACTTGATGGGCCAAATAACCTCTTTCTGCACTGTGGAGATTCTGTTTCTTCATGTGAGTCATTTATATAAATTGTAAACATTTGAGGTCCCCTGATCTCTGTCAAACACCACCCATTACATTTTGCCAATCTAAAATGACCCATTATACCTAATCTGCTTCCTGTTAAGAAGGCAATCTTCAATCCAGTCCAATATGCTGCTAGCTTTCTCTCTTACTCTAATTTTTCCCTCTTTGTTAATTTTTGGTCATTCTTTGCTTTTTTTTATATTCTGTTTAAACCTTATATTTTGCCTCCTAACTTTGAACAATGATATACTTTTTTTTTCTTTCAGTGGTGATAGGATCTTCAGCATTTCTAGTTAATCATAGACAGCGGGTCCATCCTTGGAATTTTTCTTAGTTGTTGGAGTGTACCTATTCTGTGTATTCTGAAACATCCCCTTAAATGTCTGCCACTGAATCTCTGTTCATCTATCCTTTTAACCTAACAGCTTAAATTCCTTTTCAAGGTTTCAAATGAACCAGTCATCGTTGCACTCTCAAGCAATGCATCCAGACCCCAGATTCCAGTTTTTCGCATGTCGCTTTTGTTTCTTTTATCAGTTCATTTAAATTTGTACTCTCTCAATTTTCAATCCTTTCATGAGTGTCAGCATTTTCAATGCTTTATTCTATTCAGACGCCGACATGGTTTTGAATACTTCAGTCAAATGTCCTGTCAATCAATTTTTTTCCAGTGAAAACAAACTCAGCTTTTCATATCTACTTAAATAACTAAATTCCTCAACCCTGGAAACAATCTCATGAATCTTTTCTGCCCTCTTTCCAATACCTTCACATCCTTCCCAAAGTGTAGAGCCCAAGGGGTTTTGTGGTCTGGATCTTTACTCTCCCTGAATTAGTAATCCTCTACTCTAACTCATCTTGTGTGTCAAAATCACACTTCGTTCTTTAATCTTTCAAACAATAAAATCCCCTTACACCCATCTTCTTTTGCTTTGGTTAAGGATTGTTGACAGAGTTCCGTAAAATGTAGGATTAGATTGATAAATTAGATCTATGTTGCTCATGGGGTGTATTTTGTTTTCACTTAATATACGTCTTGTTTTTGCAGAGCTGATAAAACAACCGAAAACAATGGGGTTTCTTACAAACTGGCGACCAGCAAAGAAGATGAGCTTTCACAAGCATGAATGTCAAGCTTGATTAAATAAATTCTGGACATAGTTTAGTGGTAGTGGTCAGTCCAGATGCCTAAAGATGTAGCAGCAATGATTTGTTTTGATTTGTGATTTGATTTATTATTGTCATGTATTCCTAGATACAGTGAAAAGTTTTGCTTTGCGTGCAGTACAGGTAGATCATACCATACAAAGTGCATTAGGATAATAGAACAGAGTGAGGAGTACGATGTTATGGCTGCAGAGAAGGTGCACAAAGAGCAAGATCAACATTAAATGTGAAGTTTGAAACGTTCATTCAGAAGTCTAATAATAGTGGGGAAGAAGCTGGTCTTGAACCTTTTGGTCCATGTGTTTAAACTTTTGTATCTTCTGCCTGCCAGAAGAGATTATAAGTAGGGTGGGAGGGGTCTATGATTATGTTAGCTGTGTTTTTGAGGCAGCAAGACGTATAGATAGTCAATGGGTGGAAGGTTGGCTTGTGTGATGAGGGACCCTTCTTCAGAACGTTAGCTTTCCTGCTCCTCTGATGCTGCCTGGCCTGCTGTGTTCCTCCAGCTCCACACTATATTATCTCTGACTCCAGCATCAGCAGTTTGTACTATTTCTGGCTTGTGTGATGGACTGGGCTGTGTTCACAACTGGGCAGAGCAGTTGCCATACCAAGCTGTGATGCATCTGGATAGAGAGCTTCCTATGGTGCATCTATAAAAATTGGTACAAGACTTTATGAACATGCCAAATTTCTTTAGCCCCCTGAGGAAGTAGGGCCGTTGTTGGGCTTTCTTGACCATTGCATCAACAGGGGTGGACCAGGACAGATTGTCAGTGATCGTCACTGCCAGGAACTTGAAGCTCTCAACCACCTCCATTGATGCAGACAGTGGTGGCCCTCCATCTTGTTTCTTGAAGTCAATGACTAGCCCTTTCATTTTGCTACTGTTGAGAGAGAGAGATTGTTGTCTTTATATCACACCACCCAGCCCTGTATATCTTTCTTGTATTCCATCTCATCATAGAATCCCTATAGTATGGAAACAGGCCATTCGGCCCATTGCGTCCACACCAACCCTCCAGAAAGCATCCCACCCAGACCCACCCCATCCCTGTAACCCCACATTTTCCATGGCCAATTCACATGACCTGCACATCTTTTGAATGTGGGAGGAAACCAGACCACCCAGAGGAAACCCACGCAGACACAGGGAGAATGTGCAGACTCCATACAGACAGTCACCCAAGGCTGGAATTGCACACATCCCTTGCACTGAGCTACCATGATGCCCTTTGTGTGAGATCTGGCCTACAATGATGGTGTCATCAGTGAACTTGTAAATGGAGTTAGGATGAAATTTGGCAGTATTTAGCAGCTAGCAACCTGGTGTCATTTTGTATAAAACTTTGACCTTTACTGAGTCCTAGTCTTTAATCTTTACTGCAGAAAATCCAAATGTTATGTTTTAATGACAA